TGTTGCGACACCAGACTCGTTTAGATTTATATAGCCTAGACTTTACTTTTTTTTATGGATATCTTTTAAAACGTTAAATGTGGGTATTTTATCTTTTCTCTGTTGATACTCAACAACAGATGCTTACCTTATCTCTATTGCAGATATACTTATCAACAAGAAACGAAAGAATAAAATTCAATTGTCACGAGTTTCATGATTATTTCTTTCCAACTTTCGTTTACTTTTCGTGGTTGCAAGCATTTGAGTGTCATTGTGTGAACAACTTCGTCTTCTTCAGCCAGCAGTGTCACATATCCAACAAATCGGGCATGCCAGAGATGCCAGAGGGTGTGGGTGTGTGTAAATTCCTTTGGTACACCCACACCCTCGCCTACACACATACACCTCATCTTTAATGTGGGTGTCACGAAAGCTGGAAAACGGCGGTGTACAGATACGGATGCATCTCTGTTACTCGAATTATCAGTTTAAGATGTGGGTGTGGGTGCGTGGGTTGGTGTGCATGCATTCCAGTTGCGTTTATGTAGGTGCGCCTGCTTTTACCTTTTAACCTGTCATTCGCTGTAAATTTAGTATTTCGTTTATGTGGCTATATCCATGGATGACTACGATTTAGCAAGCCGATAATTGTTTTGGCGCTCACCAGCACCGTTCGCTGCGTCCTAGGATGAACTAATTTCTGGGTTCGCCTTCCCTGTGAGTTAGACAGTATTTCTGGACGAACGGTTTCCACAGTCGATTTTGACCCAAGGATGGACATTGGTCATGGCCTTCAAATCAGGAAAATGTTTTTCCTCAGTAGTTCCCCGAAGATGCGGCGTCTCTGTGTGAGACGTAGAATACCCTTAAATAATTTTACATACGCATAGTATTTGTATTATGCGTTAGTTATAATTTTGTATGTCGGCGTCTCCCTTGACATATCCAGTATGCCCGATATTTCGGATATGTGATACCTCTGTATAGGAACAAGATTTAGGAGCTTCAATGGCGATTTACTATCAAGATCAACCAGTCGTTGATCTCTGGGGTGGCTGGTTTGATCAATCTCGTAGAAAACCTAACGATCACAACGCCTTACAATATGTATTTTTTACATTGAAAGGTTTAGTAGCGATAGCTGTTGCGCTTTGTGTTCAACGAGGTTTACTCGACTATTCTGCATTAGTAAAAACATACTGGCCAGAATATGAGCAAAATGGAAAAGAGAATACAACAGTAGTTGATATTCTATCGCACCGTGCTGGACTGACATTAGATAATTATCCGATGGAACGAATTTTGAATTTGACAGTCATGGTACATACCCAGGTCATTATTGATCAGTCGGTTCTTGTCGGGCGGGCTATAATTCCGATGTCACATGGGGACCGGATTCGGTCGGTTAATTTCTGGTGAATTCCGATGATTTTCCTTGTTTTCTTATGAAATCTGGTTGCCGGATTCTCCGAGAATCAGTCAGATTTATATTGCCGGAAAATATCAGGTTAGATGA